TAGACTATAATAAAGAAATATACTAAAAAAGTAAAAATCAGCTTAAGCAGATGGCTGGCCTCCATTATGAACTCCTCTTATCGACCAGTGGAAGACCCTAAACAAATGAAAGGGCAATAAGAACTGAATGGCCAATCTAGTTGACTACAGGTTTCTGTCCCTTTCCTTTACGTCTGCTGTTGAACTAGAAATAAAGATTTAAATTTTGTTTCAGATGCTACATTTTTGTGACAGATATACACAAAATAAAATAAACTCATAGCAGAGTTATTAGGAAAACTATAGAATTGGAACCCACATCATATGAATGTTATGGTTGATACATTGTGTCAACTTGGAGAGTCTAGAGGCTTGGCTAAGTGACTCAGCAGTTCTGCATTATGGGGTGAAAAGAACATGCCCTTACCCTTCTGGAATGTTGTTCATTGTATCAATTTGAGATGTTCAGAAGGTTAACTAAGTGACTCAGCAGGGAGCCAGGATGCTTACTTTGTATTCATCCTGAGCCTGTGCAAGAGGAGCGCATGAGATTATGTGAGCGGTACATGCCCCCAGGGTGGGGATAGCCTGCTTACAATATAAAGGAGGGAAAGAGACTTGCTCTGCTCTGCCACTCCTCCCTTTTGCTCTTGTTGCTTTGCTGTTTTCTGCCACTATGACCTGTTGCCCCCTGCCATGTGCCACTCTGCCTTGGAGCCCGCTGAGTATGGACTGAAACCTCCATAAGCTATAAGCTAAATAAACCTTTCCTTCCTTAATTTTGGGGGTCAGATATTTTTTCTCGGCAATGAGAGAAAAGTAACCAAGACATGAGGGAACGTGTATACTATCTCCTTACTTTTTAAATATTTCTATCCATCTATAAATCTGCAATTAGAGCCTCAGGCACTATAAGACTAGGGTTATTTTAGGCAAACATACACTCAACATTTTCACTCAAATTTATTTTCTAACAGCAGAGCCATGTTAAATATATCAAGCATGCCCTTTCTCCTACCTCCTTAAAGTCACGTTAAAAACATCCATAAACAACAGTGGTTTCTCCTTTCCTTGCTGTTCTCCTTTTGCCCCTTCTCTCTCATCCTGCTAAATCATTCATCACAAAAGGAAAACATTTTCCCACTCTGAGTCTTCCATGAATAAAAGGAGAAAAATATAGAGCAACACAAGAGGAAGGACTCACTCTCATCCAAAGTGATGTGCATGATGAGTTAAGATATTTGAAGTAATATCATGTGGAAAACACAGTCTGAGTGGTTCTTGGGGTAAAATGTGTACCAAAGATTGGCAGTAGCAGGCAAAGACACTGGCTTAATTTAAGAAAGGACCTGAGGAAAATGGGCCTGGATTTGCTGGATGTATGCACTGCCTGGAGTATAGCAATTCTGAAAGAAATACATGTTAATTTGTTGAAAGAATAAATGAATAAATGACTTAGAAGAGGAAATACACTGTTTGGGTCAGTAACAGGACATACAAGAAATGATCATATGTAGGAGACTAGTTCAGGAGTTGGATAGAGCTGAAATCCTTAAGACTTCAAAATCTGAGATTCTCTTACTTAACTATCTTTTCTAACAATAATAACATCTTAATAATAGTAACTTCATAATAGTTACATTTCAGTAATAACATTGAGAATATCTTCCTAATTTTCACTATTGTGCATGATCATGCATAATCTGCAGTCAATGATAAGTATCCAGAGCCTCCACTCTGTAACTGCCTCCCTGTGTTCTGTGCTCTTGTGAAGTTAGACATAGAATGTGAGATTTCAGGCTTACACATTTCATTATTTATTTTATCTACATTTTAGGACCAGATGTCTTCAGGAAATTAAATAGAACTAACAGTGCAACACATATTTTGTTATTTAACTCTTCCTGAAAGAAAACTGCCATATCTTTCTTGTACTATTTTTATTCTTTTTAGAAAATATAACAGAGGGCTGGGGGTATAGCTGAGTGGCACAAATGCCACCCTGCCAAGCACAAGGTCCTAAGTGTGATTCCCAGCACCAAAAAAAAAAAAAACCTAATAGAAAGAGAAAATATTTTCCAGTCATATAGAACTGGATATATCAATTTCAGCTTTGACACGCCATAGCTACATGACATCAGGCAACCTACTCTGGTTTTCTGAAATTTAGTTTCTTTGTCTCTGAAATTGGGTAACCGCATTTATCTTACATGGCTTTTATGGATAGTTAACAAGATATGGCACCTTAGTGTGCAGTATTATTCTTGGTCTAGACTAGACTCAGACATGAAGGCAATGCTGATGATATTGAGGACAGCTAAGAACTTGTTTGCTTTTTCTCCTCCTCTGAAGAGTATCACATTCCAAGTGATATAATAAATATGATTTTTCTTTTGAATGATCTCAAAGCATAACATCAAAATATTTCTAGTCTTTTCTTCATGAAATGCAGTTTTATTAAGTGGTTTAAACCACACAGAAAATTAGACCATTTGCTCATAAACTGCCAAGATGCTCAGACTATTGCCTGTATAAGAAAGTCAGTATTAATTTCAATCATACTGAAAGAACACAAGGAGAGGTGCCTGGTAAAAAGGCAACCCAAAGCCATGCTAAGGCAAGCATAGCTGTCGCGTGTCCCTCCAACTGTAAACAAATCCAGACTTTTCTAGATGGACAGGAGTTTGTTTCTCTTACCATCATAGAAAAGAAGAGGTAGCAGCAATAAAAGAAATTCACCTAAAATATTTACAGATCGTCTTTGATACATTTAGGTCCTTTCAAATGAAGCCTGCTTTTGCCTTTACTACTTTCTTTGTAAAAGCATTGAGCAAGAAGAGTTGACTTAGAAAATCTTTTCCATCACTTGTCACTAATTTGGTTGCTTACTGGAGCCCCCATGCCAGTTTTAAGTTAGGGACATGAAGACATCATTGAAAAGCAATGCTTACTTTTCTGCCTCTCTGAAACTAGTAGAGATTGCCACATAGTTGATCTGAGTATGAAGACCAGAACAACCGTTAAAGACAGCCAGGATGGGCCAGGATGGCTGGGCTGTAGCCACCATGCTCATAAACCTGGGCACGCTGGGTTCTACAAATTGGACATTTACAGCTGGCACTGTTCAGTGATACTGAGTTTATGTGGAATAAAAATAAAACAATTAGTTCCTTTGATTCAGAGCTGAATGCTGTCCAGAGCAATTGTATGGTTGGCACCAAGGAAAACACTTTGCGTGGGCTACCTTCTGACATTCAGTGCTGAAAATGTAGGCAAGAGCTCAATGAGACTCCAATAGGAGCTGTAAAACTGTGGTTATTTAAGAGTGCAAATCTGGTATATCTTTGTAGTATTAAAAACAGACATTCTTCTTGGCAGCTGCCAGAAGAAATGTGTCTTAGCAAATTTCCTGACTGAACTAAAGTATTCAGCATTTACTTAAAGATTTTGAAGCTATAGCCCAAATTGTAATTAGAATACTTGTTATTGGCACTGAACTCTTTCTTTCCAGGAAACAGATGTAACAGCAAAGCTGAGAGTGATAAAAATTTCATTTTTCATCAGTTATAGAAGAGGATTCTATGACACTTTCTCATTCCCACTCTTGTCATTAGAGTGCAAATTTTACCAATATTTCCTGTGCATGCCCAGAGCAAGCAAAGACTAAATTCCTGAGATCGCATGGCAGGTAGCCACTGCTGTGCAATCTAATCTACATCTTCAATATCTAATCTATATTTTGGGGCTGCCAGTCTGATTTAAAATCTGAATTGTTGATGTTCATGTTTAGTTAAAGCTCAAATGTGACAGACAGCCAGTGGGAAGGAAGGCGAGACCTGACACAAATATAATATTGTGTTTCTGGTTTTCTCAAAGTGTAAGTCTCCCAACTCAGGAGTTGCTTTGGGTCTCTCCCAAGACAGACTGAGCAGCTGAAGAAAGATTCACTACTTACGCAGTCACAAAGTCGGCTTTCACATATTAATTGCTGAGGAGGAACTGAGTTCTTAGCCTGGCTGGCACTGTTGGCATATTATGTATTCAATCAGTGAACTAGTTCAGTAAAATAGCTTAGTTGGCTATTTTTTTGTTTTGATTTTTATTGGATGTGATCAGCAGTTGGAATGAATTTACCAAATCAGCTGATGGTACCTTGGCCAGGACTCACTTTCCAAGCTCACAAGGGACTCTCAGCAGAGTTAAAAACCACATACTATTCATAGTAGAACTAGTAAACATTTACCTTATCTGAGGAACTACCTCTGCCTCTTAGTGCTGACTGTATTAGATCACTCACTATTGGTGAGGGTTGCCCAGAGATGCCATGGACAAAGATGATCCCTGGGAAATGTTTCAACCTTGGGCTAATTTATATTTCATACCATCCTTGGTGGCTAATTTATATTTCATACCATCCTTCATTTTATAACAGGACAAAGTCCCTACAAAGTTTGGTGAAGACATTGTTAAGGCAGTTTGAGCGAGTTGACAGAGACTATAGAAAATGTGCCGATCTTTGCTTATTTCCTTAATTGCTTTCTCTTCTTAGCTATTCTTGTAACTGTTGAAGCCAAGAACGCTCTGTGGGTGCCATGATCTGATTTAAAGGTGTGCTAGCTTCACATTGCTGGCGCAAAGCATCTGACAAAGACAACTTCAAAGAGGAAGTGTTTATTCTGGTCCACAAGTTCAGAGGTATCAATCCAAGGTCAGCCGGTTCCATTGCTTTACCTGTGGCAAGGCAGGGCATCATGGTGGAAGGAAGTGGTGGAGGAAAGCCGCTCACCTCATGATGCTGAGGAAGCAGAGACAGAAGAAGGGAGCCATAGAAGAGAAGGCCAGAGACCAAATATCCTCCCCAAGGCCGTAACCGCGTGACCTATTCCCTTCACCCACACCCCACCTCCTGTTGCCACCCTTCCAATAGTGACTCTCATTATGACCTTATCAGTGGATGAATCTACTGGTGAAGTCAGAGCCTTCATGGTCTAATGGCTTTTCAAAGATCCATCAGCTCTCAACCAAGTCTTCCACAGTGCATCTTTGGAGTGATATTTTTAGATAAAAACCATAACAAAATGTATCACTGTAGCCCTTATATGAGAGTATTGTTGCCTAAGAATGTCATTTTTCTATTACCTTGTGATCCAGCAGAAATAGCTGAAAAGTTTGAACAGAAGGCCCCATCGTATTTTCTCTTCTCAGATCTTACAGAGATGCACCGAAGTGAAGGAATGTATTTCTTCTCTTGAATTTTAGGTACAAGGATTGCTGAAAAAGACTACAACAAAGATTTGCATTGCAAGAAAGCACATCATAAAATGGTGAGTTGGAGTTTGAGCACAAGCAATCCACCGTATGTACCACAGTGAGAATACAATCAAAGGAAGTCAGATGACTCAGAATTCTTGGGAAAAATTGCTGCTGAAGTTAGATAGTGCCAGCCTAGGGATGATGGGGTGAAATATGTTCTAAGCAGGAGAATCTAGACTTACAAGGTTCAGAGTTGAAAGAAGCTATCACATGCAAGAGACTGAAAGTAGTTGGGTGTGTGGAGTGCACAGAAAAATCAGGAAAAGGATGAAGTTTGAGGTGAAAGAGACAGACAGACAGCTCTCGGCCTGGTAGTCATCTACTCATTAAGAAAAGTTAACTCTGATGGTACAAATTACGGAGACTCACAAGGAGGCCACATGACAGTTTCAGCCTCTCCTCGTTCTACCCAGAGTAGAATTTTTCTCTCTTTCACTTTTAATATTTTCAGTGTGGAATAGAACTGGACAAAAGCTCAAGGCACCAGTTCTAGTGCCAGGGAACCCAGAGGCACGAAACTGTTACCCCTTTTAGGTCACCAAGAAAAATGTTGTAACTTTACAGATCTCTACCAAACTGAAGCAAAGGACTGATGCTGCATTGTGCTCACCGAAGAGTTTGCAAACAAAAATGATATATTATCTTTTGCAAAATATTAGTTATGAGGAGAATTTAGAAGAGTGGGATCCTTTTATATCATTCCAGGACAGAGTAAAAATTTTGATCTTTTGGGTAACATGTTAAACTGGTTGAAAAGCTATTAACAAGGGTACTACTACTACTAGTAACATTAGTATAATGGCTTCTGGGCACACTCATAAAGAAAGGTTGAACTAGAAAGACTCTTCAAGCACCATTGAGCTCCATTCTTTTTTACCAGCAGATATGGGACTAATCCATCTCAACAGAAGGGTAAGTAGAGACAACTACGTCCACAGTTACTCTCAGTTCTTTTTCCTTAATGCCAGGAAAAGCCTTCTTATATCTACTCTCAATTCATTGCATATAACTTCAATGTATTGTGTGTGTGTGTAAATAATAAATACTTGATGATAAGTGACTGTATAGTAGTATTTCATGACCTAGAACTGTTACTGCTTTCACTTTCTTCCCTGAAATATGTTAATGCTATCTCTTTCCTATTGTTATCTTTCTCTACCATTGCTTCACAGTAGATTTTTAAGGTCTTATCTCGCATAAGTTTATATTAATACAAATCATTGTGTACTACCTTGTCCTCATATACATGCTAAAAATGCTTTTTATTTTATTTTTTACAAATGATTTTGTCACATTTTCTTCCAAGAACCCTGCAAACTTTAAGAAGGTTATATCTTTCTAAAGCTTATATCAACTAATAGGAGGATCATGTAAGAAAATATATATACAAAAATCTAAATAATTTGTCTATTACTTTCACTTTGATTATTGCCTTATCAAAAAATGAACTCAGTCCTCTTTTCCTCTAAATTCTATGATAATGCAAGGAAAAACTGCTGAATTTTTACCCTCCTGTATTTAATTCCATAATTAACATATGAACTTTTAAACCAAAAATTCCAGTGGAGCGCTGGTAAACAGCAGAAGCGACATGTATTTGAGGGTATTCACGTTTCTGGCATGAGAAGCCCACAGAAGAGGGCTTATTTTCTATTATTCTTTTGTATTTTTACATTTGACTGATTGAGTCCATGGAAACCAACCCTAATTGTTTCTTTATAGGCAGACTATGTTTTCCATCACCGGCACATACTGAACCAAACCTTCAGGGAGTAAAAAGGAGACTGGACTGCTGTTTTCTGTTACTCTGCAAATCAAAAAAAGATTGGTAGTTCTGATTAATCTTTTACTTCTTTTAGTTGCCTCCACAACACTCTGCCAAATTACCTTATAATAAATAATATAAGTCACTGAGAACTACTCATTTATTCTCACCACCAATCCAAATAAAAGGTTTTCTGTAAATGAGTTATTTCTAATAAAGCACAAAGCTGGAGGAAAATTATTAAAAGCAAATTTGCCTCATGGTTTTATGTTAATAGAATGCACAAAACCTGAGAAGAAGTTCAAGTAATGGTGATGTGGTTTTAAAGATGCTAGAAAATCTAAAGACAGCAAAGCAACTCCAAATGTATCTCTTCATCTTGCAAAATGAAATTTAATGAACAAGACATATTATTAGGGTAAACACGATGCTATTCAGATTCTCCACAACAGTGGACTTCTAATTCACTGGGTATGTTACAATAACATTTTTTAAAAATGCACTAAAAAAAAAACCAAGCATTAGACTCTAAATTAAAAAAGTAAACTGCATTTAACAGCAAACAGAGCATTAAAGAAACTGTGCTTTCTCAATCGGAAAAGCAGTTAATGAGGTCATTGTTATGCAAGAACATGAGCAACATCAAAGTGGGGTTACTACTAAGCTCACATCTAGCTCTGTTCAAAACACAGAACTTCTTAGGTTGGTTTTTTGTTATTGGTGCCTTCTCACTACTCCTACTTTCACGTGAGAGGAACTCAAGGTAGAAAATGATTCCATTATTTTCCTAAGGATGATTGAGCTTGTGGCCAGGCCAAGATTGAGCTCATCACAAGAGTGGTTTTTATCCTGGATGACCACAATGCTGGGCCTCTCTACTTTCCTTGCCGGAGTGATGCAGCAGGTCTACTAAAGCAGGATGACCGAGGGATTATTAGCAAATGTGGCATCTGGAAGTGGTTTCAATAGTGCAGGATGTTAAAGCAAGTGTATGTTGGTAATTAATTGATTTAGCACATTTAAGGGAAGTTTCTTCTCAATTACAATACCTACTGGGAAATAATGGTGCACTAAAGAAACAGCATTTTTTCCATGGCTAGGGTTACCATTATGCCATTTCCCTCTCTCTCAGTGGACGATGTAGGCATTTAAACTGAGGGTTTGGGCTATAAAATGTGTCTTAAAATGCTGGTCAATAGGATATTGGATAACTTTCTAGAAATTTTCAAAAGACCTGCTCCTAATGCATTAAATTATATGGCTTCAGATGTATTTAGTTATTTTGCTTAACTGTTACAGTGACTTCCCTCACCTAATAACTCACACACCTCTTAAACTACTGAACAACCACTGGGATATGCACTGATTCTATAAGCTGCGTGTTACAACAGTATTTTACACAGTCAAGAGGTTTTCAGAACTCAAAGGCTTCCTCTATTATATGTTAAATGGTTATTTTACTGAGAGAGAAAATGTTACATGGAATGGATTCCAGTGGCATTCATGTCTACAAAACAGAATAATAATCACATCTAGAACCTGTGGCAGAAAGAGTTAGGTAAATGTGTTGTACAGGCTGGAGTACTTCACTGAGGCTGAAAAGAGGTGGAAGATTTTAAATGGACCCAGGAAAAAGATTCTAAACCGTGTGGCTCTGGATGGTATTAGAGTAACTTCCTGACTGAATTCTAAAAGGCAATGGACACATAACAGCATTGCTAATGGCCCCAGCCTTGATTCCTCAGAAAATACCCTATTTTGTGCTTAGTCTCAAAATCAAAGTGAGGCAAGGAAAAAAAAAAAACTGAAAAAATATTAGTGGCCTTATTAGTTGATGAAATGAGCACTTGTGAGTGTCTACTGCACGCCAGGCACTGGGGCTGTAACTGTTTACAGATGTATAAATAAGTAATTGCAAGAAAAGGTAAGAGGAGGGTTAGTGCAGTGCAGTGAGAGAAGGCCAGGCAGGGACTCAGTCGGGGACAGAGGACGAGGAGACATGCATTCTGAGAGCCAAGCAGGCTCAGAAGGAGACACAGGAAGTGACACCTGGAAAGCCTGGCTGAGTCACTCTTGATACTCGATCATTTTTACTCTGGAGAATTCACCATTTTTCCATCTAAGCTCAGACCCACAGGCTTAATCATTCAGTCTCATGTGGGTTCTGGTTTGTGAGAACAGGCAGAATAGACACAAATCTGCACTCTGACGGATTCAGAAAATGTGACAGAAAAAGCCCGTTTATTTGTTTACGATGCTAAATCCAATGCAATTGGAAGAATGACTGTGTCAATCTGGAAAAAGAACCTTATGTCCACGTAGAAGACTAGAGTTATCAAAAATTAGTGAGACTTGGATCAGAACAAAGACATCTGCTGTAAAACCGCGATGTGCGGGAGCCTTTATATTTCGGTAACACGTAGACTCTGTCCCTGGGTCAGTGATGTCCCGGGCCACAGGACTTTCTTTTAACATAAAGTGTGGCTGGGCAGTTACAGCCAAGTTTCCCTCCCCTTGCTTTCCATCACCAGCAATCTCATGTCCCACATTTTACTAGCTTCTTCTGAAGGCTCATTTAGCTACAATAACTCATTCCATGGTGTTAGCGTTCAAGTGGATTCCCAGCTTTATGCTGATGTTGTCTTTTAAAACCACCTTACATTGATTTAACACTTGAATCCTTAATTTTTGTGTTTTTAAAGAACATCTGTTTTCAGTAGGAATTAAGGCCTGCAGTGTATCTGGAACAAAGCATGCTTAAGGATGGTGCTTATTGAAAGTGCAGAGACTGACAGGACTTGCTGTTAAAGGACCATTTGTGTCTTACAGCAAAGGTGTGGCACAATCTGCAGGCATTCAGCGACAGAGGCTGGAAAGCGGAAGACTTTTAAGTCAAAAAGTGATCGACACAGTGACAGGAAGAGTGAAGAACGCTGATGAGAGTTTGCTGAGGTCTTTCACGTGCACAAGAACACTGGATTTTGCACAATGGTCAGAAGTCACATCTCATGTGAGCTATAAAAAGCCAGTCATAAAACTATCAACCCAAGGACAATAAGGCAAGGTCAGACTACATTAATAGGGTACAAGAAGGAAGGCTGGGAGACTATTTGAGCAGCTTCTGTAGGAACCGCAGTCATAAGCGCTGATGGTCTGAACGTGCAGCAGTGACCACGGAGGAGAGGATGCATTTGAAGAGACCCTAGCAAAGTATGGTGGCTGGGACCTGACTTCCAGGGTTCAATGGGGTGGGCTCATTGAGTGGTGGACTAAACAGTTCTGGGATGTGGAGAGAGAGCAGCCAGCCTGCAGAACATGCTGGGCTCCTGGGTCTGATATACAAGGCATTTCCTTGGAGAGAGTCAGTGCAGAGCTGGAGCTCTGAGCCTGGGCCTTCGAAGAGACACCTGTAGGGAAGGAGGCGGAGAACCAGAATTTCCATGTCAGTTGGAAACACAGATCTAGATGAGGGAGGAGCTCAGGAAGAGTGTGCGGAGAAGGGCCAGGGATGCAGCTCAGTGGTGCAGCGCCTGCCTGGCAAGCGTGAGGTCCTGAGTTAGAGTCCCGGTAGCCCACAGCCCCCCAAAAAGAAGAAAAAGAGTGTGTGTAGACTAGGAAAATTAAAAGAAAAAAAGATACAGGTGTTCCTGAGAAACACTGCTCATTTGCAATAAATATTTAATTGAAAAAATAGGAGAGAAAATAGATAAGAAAGGCTGGAAGGGAAGGTGTAAAAGCAGGAGAACTTGTAGTCATCAGAGTAAGAATTTCAAGAAAGAAATGGTTGCTAGTGTCCGATGCTACAAGGAAGTAAAACTATCACATGAAAGAAAACATCTCCCTGAAACTTGCCATAAAAACATTTACTTTTAATACTTGCAAGGGAGTTCCAAGTGATTTTTGAGTGCCTGGACCAAGGGATAAATGAAAACAGAAGATATGGGTTGACAAGAGAGAACTACTCTTGTTTTAAGAGATAAAGATAGAAATGGTAAAGACGCGTCCCCAGCCCCTCTCCCTGAGCTCACTGGTGCCCGTGCTGGCCCTGTTGGAGCACCCGCCACGTGGCCTGCGACTGCTGGCATAGCTGGTCGCTGACCAGACACACAGGGCCTTAAGAGCAAGGGACGCGTTTTCCTTGTTCGTGGCTTGCAAGTCTGCCTGCTTTCTCGTGAATTCTCGTGAAGTCAGTGATGACTGAGGGGAGGTGAAGGGAGAAGAGGTGAATTTCAGAAGCGAAAGGAAATGGTTGATAAAGAAACACAGGCTTCAAGTCCCTGGTAAAGAAGCAACAGCAAAGCAGTTATTGACAAACCCAATTGCTCAAAGGATGGCAGGGGGCACGTGGTAGGCAGCTTTTATTTGTGAACAAAGAAAAGACATTTTTTCCCCTTCTAAAACAAAAGAAAATGAGGTGAAGACGAGTTCATATGTGAATGAAATGTGTAGATCTGGAGCCAGGAAGCTGAGGACGTTCGCTCTCGATGCCCTCGATTTTCTTAGTGAGATACAAGGAATGGGGGGGGGGCGGTGCTAATAACTGCCAGGCACACACATTTCCTAATATCGATTCATTTGCAAATCTATAGTTTTGTTTTTTTTTTGTGTGTATAATGTTTGTCAGATTTTGATGTCAAAATTATCCTGGTTTCATAAAATACACTTGATTGCCTTCCATATTTTTTGCTGTGTTCTGGAACAAATTACATAGAATTGAGTTTACTAGTTCCTTTAAAGTTTCAAATAATTCACCAGTAAAACAACCCCCAGAGAATTTGGAGTAATTTTTGAAGTGTTTTTCATTATCCCTATAGTTGTTACTCAACTCAGATTTTTCTAGTTTATAAAATTTTACTGCTAATTTATATCTTTCATGAACATCTTCCATTTCACAAGTTTTACACGTTTATTAACATTACATAGAGTTTTGCATTACAATCTCTTATACATTTTGCTCTATTTGTTTTTCATCTCCTTTCTTTCTAGTTCTATTTATTTTCTCCTTTTTCTTAATCAGATTTTCTAAAAAGCGATCTACTTTCATGGTCAAAAATCCATGGGTTCATTAATTCTACTTTTCTGATTTTAATCCATTAAAGTTTTCTTTT